CCCAGAGATCAGAGGAGGACAAAATGTCCACAGCACTGAGAGAAAGCATGAACTTTTCCAGGACAACAATATCTGTTGGATGCAGGCACACTCCCAAGGAAATTCTCCTTTCAGTTGATTGGCTGCTCACATCAGTTCACAAAATAGAAGATGATTACATCGTGTCTGCCAAACTGCTGAGAATCATAACCTAGCCAAGCTGACACATAGTTTGAACCATCACTGGGTGATGCATACAGTTTGTACTCACTAAACTTGTTGTTGTTGTTGTTAAGTGCCATCGAGTTGGTTCCAACTCATAGCAACCCTGTATGGGGTTTCCAAGGAGCAGCTGGTGAGTTTGAACCACTGATCTTGTGGTTCAAACTGACCTTGCAGTCCAGTGCTTTGTCCCACAGTGCCACACAAGGACTTCTAACTTAAAGATTGCCAATTCAAATCCAGCCAGAAGCACCACAGAAGAAAGATGTGGCAATCTGCTTCTATAAATATTAGAGCCAAGAAAGCCCTATGGAGCAGATCTACCCTGGGGTCTACACACAAGGATGAAGTCACCATCCTCTCTTTTGCTGCTCCCACTATACTCCTAAGTTTCCTCTTTGACTGCCTGGGTCCCTCTCAAGAAAATCTCATAGGTCTCTTCCCTTTAACATGGAGATGAATGTCTCTAAATCCGGGTTGCTGCCTCTCTCCATTGATACCTCAAGCTGGCAGATCAGGACTTTTAACAAGGATGGTGGTGATGGTTTTGATGTGTCGTGAAGTTGGTTCCAACTCATAGTGACCCTGCATAGGGTTTCCAAGGCTGTAAATCTTTACTGGAGCAGAAAGCCTCATCTTTCTCCTGCAGAACGACTGGTAGTTTCGAACTGCTGTTCTTGAGGTTAGCAGCCTGACTCATAACCACTATGCTACCAGAACTCCCTTTAACAAGGACAGCTGATGGGATATTATGCCAAAGAGAAATTCCGTAAGGTTTCTTAAATGAAAACAAAACAGAACTTGCCTCATTTTTCAGTAGCCCTCCCTCACATTTATGGAGTAGTCATGAGATAGAGATAGCTGTGTAAAGGGGACACGTTAAAATTCATAGCCACCTAAAGCTTAGCCCAGGGAAATGAAATGATTTGCCCAAGTCACTCAGCTTGAAAACGTCGGAACTGGGATTTGAACTCAGGACACTGACAGTGAGCTTCACTTAGAGAGAGGACAGACCTGTCTTTTGCTGCAGTGCTTACCCAGGCCAAACTGGCTGTACCCATGGAGCACAGCCATACCATTTGGCTTCTGTTCACAAGGCCAGTTTAGAGCTAAACTACAGAGGACAGTTCCTGTTGGTGAGGCTTATTTTTGAGACACAAAGGGTCACCAGGAAGCGAACACTTGGCTTCACCTCCATCTTTGTCCAATTTTCTATGGCTAGATACTGTGTGACCTCCAGAGCCATGGGAAGATCCTGACCATCCTCAGCAGCTCAGATACCACATCTGCACATGCATCATTGGGCTGACTGTCACAAATTAGGGAACTCGAGTGTAAGGACAGCTCCGATTTAGGATTAGAAGGACCCCACAACCTTCATCAGCCCCTGGCCATTGTGGGAGAGTGACCTGGAAAATCAAAAAGCAGAGAAGTGTCCCAAAATATAGGAGCCTTGTTTGAAGCATAGTCGAACCTATTAGCCTGAGAAATTGGTCTGGAAATCTTATTAAAAGAGACAAATCATTCTGCATTTTCTCCAGACTGAAAATATTGGGGGTAATAGACTTTCCCTGCTGCCTCAGATTCATGTACCACCCGGCAGGATCACAGCCAAACTCCAGCGAGGCGAAATTCAATGCAGGCGATAAAGCTAGATCTTTTTTTTTTTAAAGGGGCACGTCTGATTAATTCCAGTTTCTCTAGCCAGCCTCAGACTTATCTGTACCAGTCCCTCATTACTGTGAAGGTTGCAAGGCAGGCCAATGGCAAAGAGAAATGAAGTTCAAATTATGGATTTGTCAAGACTGCCCAGCTCAGCAGATTTGATTGTCTACCCTCAGAAGCCCTGTGACTACCCCCCTCCCCATCCCTACCCCCTACCACATGCACATCGCCTTTCTCAGTATGCTTAATGAACTTCAGATGGAGACTATGAGAACTGTGGGATAAGACTTGAGTTGCTAACTGCAAGATCAGTGGTTCAAACACACCAGCAGCTCATTGGGAGAAAGATGAAGCTGTCCTGTATAGATTTACTATCCCTGAGACCGTGTATTGGGTCTTAGGAGTCAGAATCAACACAACGGCAGTGGGTTGGGTTTGGCCATGGGGTGGGGGGTGGGAGGAAGCAAAGTACCTTTGCATGATGAAATTAAGCTGGCATACCTTTCCTGTTTAAGAGTGGTGATAAGAATCCTTCAAACTTACATGTTTGCTATTGTCATTCTTGTTGTCACATTTATGAGTACAGATGGGGTCACTAATAACATGAGTGGGAGGATTTGAACCTATTGCTGGCGAGTCAGTTCTGATGCTTGATGGCACCTTGAGTTGTAGCGTACGTTAACTATACCCCTTAGGATTTTTCATAGCTGTGACCATTCATAGCTGTGACCATTGCCAGCCCTTCCTTTGGAGGCAACTCTACGTGAGTTTGAACCTCCAACCTCTCAGTTAGTAGTCTAGTGCTTAACCATTCATGCCACCCAGGGACTCCTAGCTGGAATTTGTTGTTGTTAAGTGGTACTGATTGGTCCAACTCACAGCAACCCTGAATAGAGTTTCCAAAGAGCAGCTGGTGGGTTTGAACTGCCAACCTTATCCCACAGCATCACAACAGAACTCCTCCTCACAAGTAGTAGTTGTTGTAAAGTACTGTCGAGTTGGTTCTAACTTACAGCAACACTGTACAGGGTTTCCAAGGAGCCATTGGTGGGTTTGATCTGCCAGCCTGTGGTTAGTATTGATCCTCCAGTGCCACACCAGGAGTCCTAACACTTAGTGAGTGTTTATCTATACCTGGTAGTACACTATCCTAAAGACTCTGTTTATATGCATGGTCTCACTTAGCCCCAGAACAATCCTATATGACAGGAGTTGGCAAGCTCCTACTGTAAAGGGCCAGATAATAAATGCTTTAGGCTCCACAAGCTATATGTTCTCTGTCACAAGTACTCAGCTCAGCCATCGTAGTGTGAAAGCAGCCATTGATGATACCTACAGGATTTCGTCTGGCTGTGCGCCAAGGAAACTATATTTACACAAATGTGCAGCTGCCCAGACCTGGCCTGTGGGCCTTACTGAACCCTGCTACAAGGTCAATATTATCATCCCTAAGCTAGCACATTGGATCCCACAGCTAGGGATGTGGGAGGGAGACATGGGCTTTTCTTGCTCTTCTTCCCTCCCCACGCCCAGCTCTTCCCTTCTGTTGCTGGTTCTTGGGGAAGGAGAGAACATAAGAAGTTCTCTCATGTGACGCCCCCGCTCCCCCCCAGGAAAGGTGAGCTGTTCCCTTTCAATAAAGAGAAGAGAAACCATGGCCTATCATGAAAGCCTTGTGTCAGTGGTGGCTGTGAAGAGGCCACTGGATTTCTGTGTCAGCTCTGTCAATCGAGCTCCTGGCCTACAGACTTGGTATCCCCCATGGTAGACCTCACTGATAAGAGACTCAGTCCAAGCTGTTCTCAAAAGACTTAGAGGACCTTGGTAAGATTCACTTACACCTTCCAGTAAACCTGCAGACAGAAGGCCTGTCTCTATCTAGGCTGTGTGGTCTCCAGCAAGCCTGCAGATTTGCTCTTAGCTCTCCTGTGTGCCCCAACTTGAGACAGGGTTCATTTCCATACATCTTGGGAACCAGGAATTTGAGGGCATGCCTTGCCTTTCTCTGGAGTCCCTGCCCCCCTCCACCACCACCTACACCAATGTTCTTTTCCCGTCACTAGTTATCTGTGGAGTCCTGGTGTGGCACTGTGGCAAGGTGAGTTTGAACCACAAGGTTGGTGGTTCAAACTCACCAGTTGCTCCTTAGAAAGCCTATACAGGGTCGCGATGAGTCAGAACCGATTCAGCAGCACTTAGCAACAACAACCATCATCTGTGGCTCCCTCTTTCCTTCTTGATGACACCCATAGAAGAAATAGTTTTGATCTTAGACCAGGGTTTCTCAGTCTCAATACTATTGGTATTTTGAGTGGCATAACTGTGGAATATAATAGTTCTTATAATTATAGAATGTTCAACAGCATCCCTGGACTCAACTCACTATCTACCAGTAGCAACCTTCTGTTGTGAAAACCAGAACTGGGTTACAAACATTGCCCTGTGTTCCCTGGGGAACCAAGAGCCTCCAACAGAGAACCTTGGTCTGACTCAGGGGCAATCATCGTGTTTTGCTGTCTGCTTTGGTCCTAATTCCCAAGCGCAGAAACACAGGACAAATAACAGGCAAGTTATCTTCAAGGAATGCATCTTTATCCCCACTCTACAGATGACACAACTGAGTCCTGGGTCACTTAGCTACTAAGTATGAGAGCCTGTATTTGGACCTAACCTTATTTGATGCCAAACTTTCTTAAAAATAAAACAAAACTACTCATAACCTAATTCTGAAATGAGCATTGTGAAGGTTTGCCTGGAGTGGGGATAGTTTGCCGTGATTCATGTTGGTGAAAAGAAAACTAAATTGTATTACCCTCCTGTCAGAGTGCTCGATTTTATCTTGACAATAGCCCAATCAGTTCCTCATTTTACAGATGAGGAAATTGAGGCCCAGCAGGTTTAATACATGGTTTGATGTCAGCAAATTTTTTTCAGCCCCACGTTCCCAAAGCCATAATCTTTCAGCAACCAAAAAAGTGGGTGGCTGCGCCTCAGTGGGGGACTGAGTCTGAAGTCTAGCATAACCCTCTGTCTTACTAGTCAACGTGTCTTGCTGGCAATAAGAAAGACCGTGATAAATCGCATGGGTGTCTCCCCTTCCGTTGGCCTCTTGCTCTGACCTCTCTCTGCTCCAGCTCTGCATGCAGTACTGGCCTGAGAAGACCTCGGGATGCTATGGGCCTATCCAGGTGGAGTTCGTGTCTGCAGACATTGATGAGGACATTATCCACAGAATATTCCGCATCTGTAATATGGCTCGGGTAAGACACCACCCCCATTGCTTCCCATGCCCCTCTTTCCCAAAACAGATGGAAGCTGTGGGGAGAGGATTCTGCTGGGCTGGCCATAAGTCAATGCTCTCCTCACCTGACAGCCACTTCCTTGGGAAAGTAATATCTTTTTTGATTCCAGCTCCAGACCCAGGAATGGCTCCAAAACTCAGAGATGCAAAGAGCAAAATCCAGCCTGCCATCTGCCTGGTTCCTGACACACTTACTACCATGTAGACATAACTTCTCAAGAATCAGTTCATTCCCACTGTGGCTCATTCTTTTGGCATGTGTTGATACAGCCTTTTATCGGATCCAGTAAACTTTGGTCTAGGCTCTGGGCACACAGAAGTGAAAATAATTACTTGTTTTCCTAAGGAAGTTCACTAGCTGAGTATAGGGATACCAGGTGGGAGAAAGGCAAGAAGAATAATCCATGAAAAGATGACTAACTAAAGCAATCAGATGTGTGCCCAGTATTGGGGGCTCAGGGTAAACAGAGTACAGTTCTTGCCCTCAGGCGCTTTGTCTTCTGGGAAAGTGAAGTTTTCTCTGGCACACGAGCTTCACAGAGAGAAAACCTTTGCCTAGAAGAGTCAGAGAAAGCTTCTCTAAAGAATGTTTTCTAGGTGGACAGAGATGAAGGTCACTCGTGGAAGGTGAAACAGTGTTGACAGAGGTGCAGCGGTAGATAAGGGGATGGTGTATGTCTCTCTTTTTGATGAGGAGGCTTAGACTCCATTTGTTCTGTCTTCTACTACCATCAATATCCATGTAGCTCCAAGATGTCTGGAGAACTTGAATCTCCAAGCATCTCCAGCCCTAACTGTACCTCTGTTCTCAGCCACAGGATGGGTATCGTATCGTTCAGCACCTCCAGTACATTGGCTGGCCAGCCTACCGGGACACGCCCCCTTCCAAGCGCTCTCTGCTCAAAGTGGTCCGACGACTCGAGAAGTGGCAGGAACAATATGATGGGAGGGAGGGACGCACCGTGGTCCACTGCCTGTGAGTACAATGAAGGACTCTCCAGGACAATGGGATGATGGGTTGAGAGGAATCCTTGGGGATGCCACTGGCCACAGATACCAGTCTTTTGCATGCCCTGCTATGCCAGATCTTAACATCCTTTGGGAAACCAGTGTTTAAGTGTAATGAGAAGAATCTGAAATATTTAATCAGGGGCCGCCAGATTGTTGCCCTAAGCCATTGCTATAAAACATGTTATTGATGCTAAAGTTGGTGACTTTTCTGTTGACATGGAGACAAGCCTCTACAGAGCTCTCCCAGTCAAGAGGTAAGCCTAGTGTCCACTCGGACACATCATAGGACCTACTAGTCACAGGAAAGTTCAGCACCAAGTAGGTGCCACAGACCAGAGCCTCCTCTATTATTTCCTGAAGAAGAAAAGGGAATTTGTTTAAATAAGTTTGATGCCAGATACTTTACATGAATCTTTTCATTTGGGAGATAATATTATCATCATCCTTATTCCATAGTAAAGTAACTGATGCATAGAGAGAGTAAGGGATCAGGTCGGTAAGATGGTAGTGATGGTTTGAATCCAAGTCCACTGGGGTCCAAGCTAATGTGCCTTCCACTTCCTCTGTAAAACCAAAGATCTTGTACACTGTGATGTCTTCTGGGGTATCTCTCACTTTGGGCTTAGTGTGAACACAGGGATCCAGAAAGCATGGGGGGAAGGCAGTTCTCTGAGGAGCTGATGAATGGATGTGGAGGGATCTAGGAACTTCCCAGAGGCACAGTTTATACATCCATTAACTGGGGTGCCTCAGAGCCTTTACTGCTTGTCTTAAAATCAGCATAATCAAGGCACAGGGTTTCCCAGCCCAATGATCCTGGGTGTCAGTATGCTAGAGGAGAGGATGGGATTCTTAAAGGATGGTGACAAGCTGTCAACATGAAGAAATCATTTAATATTGTGGGTCCCAGTATCCTTCTGATTACAATGTGTATGCTGAAGTAGATAAATCATTATGCCTTATAGAGCTTTGTTGTTGTTATTGTTAAGTGCCGTCAAGTCTGTTCCAACCCATAGAGACCCTATATAGGGTTTTTTGAGGAGCAGCTGGTGAGCTTCAACCACCAACCTTGCAGTTCAAATGGCTTTGCAGTCTGGTGCATTAACCCACAGCACCACACCAGGACTCCAATATTTACTGAGTGCTTAGGAAATCCCAGGGATTTAGTATCTAATATTTGAAAATAGCACATTTTATCTACTATCATAGAGAACAATGTCATGCAAATACATAAACATTATCGATGTAATTATTTATATTATAAAACATAAAAATAGTAAACATAAAATATGATGGTTGTGGTGGTGGTGTGTTGTTGAGTTGGTTCCAACTATATAGGATTTCCAAGGCTGTAAATCTTCACAAGAGTAGAAAGCCTCATCTTTCTCCTGTGGAGTGTCTGGTAGGCTTGAACAGCTGACCTTGCAATTAGCAGCCCAACACGAAACCCATTACTCCACCAGGGCTCCTTACCATAAAATACAGTATTAATCAAATGTAAAATAGTAAAAGAGTATCACAAAGCCTACCATATGAGTATAAAGTGGCCCTAGAGAACAATTATACAAATATCTCAGACCCCAAACAAATCTTCAGTCATGGCAGCTATGGAAGGAACATTTAATTTACAATAACTCAGTTTTCTTCTTAGAATTCAAAGCAATTTCGAGATGGATCATTGAGAGGGTGTCCATCTTTCAACGCCGTGTGTTAGAGGAAATCTCAAACAAGATCTTAGCCTTTTCAGAATAAATATGTCTAGAGCCAGTGGAAGCATTAATAGCATCCCATGGCCTCAGAATTCAGTTCAGATTTTTCAAAACCTCCTTATTGTTCTCTTCCAAATAGGTGATAGACACACACATGCCAGGAAATCAGAGAGTTCAAAGGAACTAAATCTCCCACACATAGCTTAAGGGTCACTGCCAACAACAGCCTCTCCCTGTCCCAAAGGTCCCAAGTCTTAGACCAGAATCTAAAGAGCTGTTGAGAGTTGCTCCAGGTCTGGTGGTTGGGTAACACCAACCGAGCCAAACTGGCGCTGCCTACATCACCCAAATCAACAGCTGGTTCTATCCTAACCCCTGCTTCCTCCCACACATTCAGGTGCCCCCACCACCAGTACAGAGCTGCCCCCATCCCTTTGGGGGTTTCATTCCACGAGGCCCTGATAAGACTGTGTCCACTCACCTCTTCACTTGGACACTGCTGTTTTTATTGCAGCAAATTCTAAATCCTCCTTCTGGAGGGTTTCTTCTTACTCTTTGTCATGTGTTGGTATTTTGCCTGATTTATTTTCAGGACTGCCTATTTTAGAAAGAACCCGGGTGGTATCGTGGCTTACATATTGGATTGCTAACTGCAAAGTCAGCAGTTTGAATCCACCAGCTGCTCCGTGGGAAGAAGATGAGGCTTTCTGCTTCCGTAAAGCTTTACAGCCTCAGAAACCCTGTCCTGGGTCACTATGAGTCAGAACAGATTGGGCAGCACACAACTACCACCGCCTTTTTCTGAGTCCATTTCTCCCCGCACAAGTTCCAAATCAGGCAGAAATAGAGGAATTTTCTGTAAAGAATTTGAGGAATAGCTGCCATGAAGATGACTTTGGATGTTACACAGAGGAGTGTCAGAGGGGTGGCCCTACCAAGGACCCTCTGTCACTAGGTTCCAGGTCATAAGGGTCTTGCTTACTAGGTGTTGTTGTTGTTGTTGTGTGCCGTGGAGTCAGTTCCAACTCATAGTGACCCTGCACAGGGTTTCTGAGGCTGTAAATCTTTATGGGAACAGAAAGCCTCATCTTTCCCCTGTGGAACAGCTGGTAGTTTCGAACTGCTGACCTTGAGGTTAGCAGCCTGGTTCGTAACCACTACACTACCAGAGCTCCTTACTGTAGAAATCTCCTGTTTCAGGATACAGTCCCTCAGGTCACCTAACTTCCCAGGCCTTGGGCAGCTGCTCCTAGGCTAGCAGTGATATCTCTGTCCTTGGTAGAAGAGGGGAAAAAAACTAGTAAAAACATCATGCTCTTTACTGATGTGTAGGTAGACCCAGAAGGAGCCCGGGTAGTATAGTAGATTACAAGCTGGGCTGAAAACTGCAAGGTCAGCAGTTCGAATCTACCAGCCATTCTGTGGGGGAAAGATGAGGCTTTCTGCTCCTGTTAAGATTTACAACCTTGGAAACCGTGTACAGACAGGGTCACTATGTGTCAGAACTGACTCGGTGGCACACAACTGCCACCAGAACTTACCTCTGAGCACTACAGATACTTTGGGAGTATTTCAAAAGTCACAGTACATACCGTCCCTGGGGGTTTGGACCAGTGTGCCATGGGTGAGTAAAACATACCTCATAGAATCAGGGGAACACATCTAGTTAATTGGAAAGATAATCTAGTCTAACATCTTCAGAATTTGAATGGAGCACTTGGGCCCCACTCAGGAGAACTGACTTGCCCAGGGTACCAGCAAGTTAAGGGCATGGATGGGCCTCAGACCCTAACTCATGACTCAGGCCGAGGCTTTCATGATTGTCTTCCCTGCATTTTATAGGCCACCCACCACCCCATTACTGCTAATATGACTTTAGGATCAAAGTTTCTGCTAATATGGAGAATCTGCCAGGGAACATAAGAGAACAACTTGGGAACATCTCAAAATGTAAAAAGAAAAAATTAAATACATGTGTTATTTATATTAGACCTTAATATAAATAAAATTGGGAATTGCTGCCACTGACTCCTTAGGCATCTTGGAGGTGGCTGGGGTGGGGGTAGGGGGGGATACCCAGATGTCCAGGCATCTGACTCGCCTCTAATTATTCTGTTTAGAAATGGGGGCGGCCGCAGTGGAACTTTCTGCGCCATTTGTAGTGTGTGTGAGATGATCCAGCAACAAAATATCATTGATGTATTCCACATCGTGAAAACGTTGCGTAACAACAAATCCAACATGGTGGAGACGCTGGTGAGTGTCCTAAGAATTGATCTGCCACAGCTAGGAGCTGACTGTAGTTCCTTTGACAGAAGACAATGGGTAGCAAGAAGACTCAACATCCAAATACTTAACTGAGTACCTGCAGAGAGCCTTTGCTTAAGTAGTCATCTGCCTTGCTTCTCCACATCCCATCATTTCCTTCTCTTTCCTGAAGGACAGTCTGCCCTACTTTATTTTGCTTTATGCCCATTGCTAATTAAGGCTTAGGGGAAGGGAGTTTGAATTAACAGAGTAAGAATTCATGTTTCCATTTGGAGATGCCCCGTTCTAATGAATTGTGGCCATTTTTGTTGTTTTACAGGATTAGGCTAGGGGAAAGTATGGGAAAGAGTTTAGGGAGTGGTGGAGACAGGTCATACAAAAGGAACTTTACTAGAAGAGTCTATAGACTGACTCAACATGTGGTCCTGCTTGCAGCGTGGTCTGCAGGCCAGTAGCATTAATGTCACCTGGAAGATTGTTAGGAATTCCGAATCTGGAGCCCCACTCCCAGATCACTGGGTTAGAATTTGCATTTTTTAAAAGATTTCTGGGTGCCATATAGTCACATTACAGTTTGGGAAGTACGGGTAACCAAAGCAGTCAATAAAAAGAAAGGAAATACTCCCACCTGGACATCTGAGAAGACCTGGTAAGAAGAAGGCATCAGACAGAACTTTGAAAGCTATCAAGATATGGATAATTCCATGGATAATTTTGAGTTGACTTTATAGCATGGGTGTAAATAAAGTTTTCTCCAGAATTTGTATTTCTAAATTAAATACATGTTCCTTTTCCTTTTGGTCTTTCTCTTTTGCCTCATCTTCTCCCTCTCTGACTCTCCTCCTGTCTTCTCCCTTTAGGAACAGTATAAATTCGTATACGAGGTGGCACTGGAATACTTAAGCTCCTTTTAGCCCGATGGAATGGGGAACCTGCTGGAGTTCAGAGGCGGCTGCAGCCTCACCCCCTTTTCTGTGACTGGCAGAAACTGGGCCCAGGGGCTAAGCAGCAGAAGACTGGGTGGTCCCAGGCCTCACAGTGGACTCTGTGGGAGAGGCTGTTCTGAGAGGTCCAGGCTTCCCTTCAACACCCAAGCAGCCATGGCCATGAGTCCCAGCAAAAGTGCTCCCACAAGCAAGGCCCCTGGATTCTCAGCTCTCAGACCTCTTGCTTTTGTTCTTTTCGAGTTTGTGGATATTATGGTAAGCTGACTGTGCTGGCGCTGGGGCACAGAAGACTCAGCACATCCCTGTCCTCCTCCTCCTCAGGAGTGCAGGGGCTGTGTCGACCCCCTTGCTGTCACGGAAATGATGGGGCTCTCGGGCTCTCTGGTCTGCTGTCCTTCTCATCTTCATCCAGGACATCTGGCACCAGTGTCTACTGGTATGGCTCAATATGGCCTCAGGATGATCCCTAGGCCACTGCAGAGGCCCATCTTCACCACGGCCCATACCTACCCTGCATGGGGCCTGGCCCACTGCCATTCTGTACCCACCCTACCACCCGTAGCCTGAGCCTTGACCTTCCGGTCAGCCAACTGTGTCCACAGCACTCTTTGATGAAGGTTATCTTTGTGTTTTTGCAGTCTGTGGGGAGGGGTAGAACTGCAGGGAGCTTCGCTGCTCCACCGTATCTTTGTAAAGAGGGAGCCCCTCCCTGGGGCTGGGCTGTAGCTGCATCCTGTGTCTCTTGGGTGATGGTTCCCTTTGGGAGGGTGAACAACATAAGCTGTGATTATATTCCAAAGTGTATGTGAAAAGAAACTTTCTTTAGGGGGATTAAAATCATAGTCTTATGTGAAAAAGAAAAAAGAGGAAGAGCCTTTGAATGTGTAGCTATCAGACCAATTTTGGAGCTGATATCCATGCTGGCAGTGGCCTCCAAAGGCCCTATCCTATAACAGCATAGCCACTGAGCAGGGGAGCTGGTTCTTCAGTTCCTGGGGCAAATGATTCACCAGCTTTCCGCATAATTCTGGAGCTCCACATTGAAGCTCCGCCTTTGAGAAAAGCACCTATACTCTTGAAAAAGGCCCGTATACCATAGGCCAAGGGGATCAGGCTTGAGTTTTGCCCAAAGTCTGGGTGAGTCAATAAAAGGGAAGCAATGTTTGGTAAGCACCCACTGTGTGCCAAGTATCATGCATGGCACATTCCATGTGACATCACACGTCGATCCACCGATCCTTTATGGAATAAGCTGTTAACTCACTATCATTGTCATTTTACAAGTGAGGAAACTGAAGTCACTTTTTCAACAATGAAATGCTAGGATCCCAAAAGGCAAGTCATGGTGATGAGACCAGGGGCACTGTGTTCTTCATTCTTTCTCAGTTAAGCAATTGGTTTATGAAGGGAAAGTAAGATCCGAGCCTTCTGAGCAAAGAACTCCATGAATGGAAATTTCACCCTTTCTTTCTGCTGCCAGTTCTTCTGGAAAGCCCCAAATCTCAGCTATATATTAGTAACTCATTCCCCATTCTCCTAGAAATTTAGTCTCATTGAATTTCTTACCCACTGAAAACAATCCCTTATTCCCTTAGGCTATGACATCCGTTAGCCAGGAACACTACCTTTGTATCTAGCTAGTGCTTAGGCACAATATCTGGCAGGCTCTGGGTGGCCTGGGATCTAAGAAGTTCCATCTTGGAGCTAAGTCTAGCCCCAGACAAGGCGTGAGGAGCATGGAATTCAATAAGGCAGTTATTGCCCTCAAAACCTCACTTTCTACTAGAGAAGACAGACAAATGGAACCACAGCATAATACTGGGAGGGTAGTCAAGTGTTCTGTTAGAAAAGAGAAACTAACTCGGCCTAGGGCTTCAAATAGGAGGTGATGTCCATTCCAGCTGGGTAGCAAAATGAAGAAAAGGACATTCAGGCCATGAGATCAGCGTGTGCAATGGCAAAGAGGAATGGACAGGCATGGTGGGGAGGGGAGGATGGCGAGAGATCAGCCCAGCTTGAGTAGAACGTGGCTTGGAGGGTGGCAGGACATAAGCCAGGGTCAGGAGGTGAATGCCCAGCAGAACAGTGTAGATTTTACCCTGTAGGTAACAAGGGACCAGCAGAGATTCTGAACGATTTGTTCAGCTCAGTGTTGAAGAAGTTTCCCTGTGAGGCCAGTGGGGACCACCACTTTTCCTTTCATCAGACACTGTGAAAACATGCCCTTAAGCATGTGCTTTTGAATATCCCATCTATTTGTCTGTCTGCTCATTATTTTGTTAGCAGAATGCAATATGTACTGGATCATGAGACTCTGCTTCTGTGAGCAACCTAGGGTCTCTGCTTTACCATGCCGTGGGCTCACTGACCCAGACTGCTGGTCCCAAAAGGGATGGGACATAAAAGGGGACCAGGGAAGCTCGGTGCATTGGCATGGACTCAGGGGTTGTCTGCAAGTGTGTGGACACCAGACTTGATGAAGGAAGGGCTTTTACTTTGGAAGTTCAAAGGAAGTATCTGAAAGCAAAAGAAAGCAAGGGAACCCCATGGTTAGTTTGTTCTCCTTTGATGAGACTCTTCCCAGGTGTGTTTGAGCAGGTCCCCAGGACCCAGATGCCTCTGGTCCAGCTGACTTTCCCTGCCTCCAGCCCACATCCCTGCTGACCATCCTTCAAGCAGCCTGTGTGTGTGTGCCTGGCAAGTTCAGCCGGTTATATGCTCTTTTCTGAGATATTCACTCACCCAGACAGGATCGGGAGGGGGGCTGTTTAACATAAATCCTGGGATTTATTCTGCTCAGGAATGGGTGAAATAGCTGGCAGATAAAAATGACACTGGCTTCTAGAATTTCAAATGGTAAGGATTTCAAATATGACTTGAGGGAGATAGAAATTTATAAAATCTAAGGTCATGATGGGAAACCCTACAATAGCCAGTGATGATTCCCCCAGCTCATCCCCCGACACACACCGATTTTCTGATGATCCAACCACCTTCTCAGGAAGGCAGAGCAGCAAACAGGTCTTAGGCCAGATTATACAAGAAGCAGCTGAGCCTCAAGGATGGGGTGCCATCTGAAGACCCCTGCACGGCAGTATGTCGTAGGGCTTGGCTGAGACGGAACACTGGTGCCCACGAGTGTGGATGTGATCTCTTGCCCAGGCAATCTCCTGCACAAACATCACCTCTCTTAGGGTAGCCTCCCTCAACCCCACCCTTTCACTCTGCAGAGGAAAATAAACCTTGGACTTTCTGAGTTTCCCTGATGACAACTAGCTCCTTGTCTCTAGGGCCAAAAAGTGCCCTCACTAGGTACATAGCTTGCTATGATTCTCATCTCCTAGATTAGGGCCTTGTTTGGAGATGGTTCAAGGAACTGATGTGAAGTCAGGAGCTGCCATCCCAACCCATATATTTATGGTTTAGATAGTATCAGGATGGGTCTGAGCTGCATCTTGACATGGTATTCTTTCACCCTTTCTGGTAGGAAGACTTAGGTCTGCCAAAGCCTCCGAGTCTCTAGTTGACCACAGCAGGCCTCCGTTTGTGGGGACAGATGGGACCAGTCTGCCTTTAGTGCTGGCCTTCTCTGCAGGTGGGGCTTGAACAATAGTGTGCCGCTCTTCACCTGGACCAGCAGACCCTGGGCTGGGGACTGTAACATGTGAGCTCACGGAAATCACCCAACATCCCTGTTTGTGATTGTTGCCATATTACAGATGAGGAAACTGAGGCTCAGTAGGGAGCAACAACTTGCCCATGGTCATATAGCTAGTGAAGGAGTGAGCCAGAACTTAAATTGTAGTTTGTTGTTTTTTTCTAACTTCAAAGACAATGTTTTTCTGCCATGTGCTAACATTTTCCATTGGGGCTCCCCAGAATAGCAGAGACTAGACTGAAACAGGTAAGCCAATGGATCTGGGTAAAGTCCAAAGAAGACAATGGTAAGATTACAACTTCTTCAGAGTCTCATGTTGTATTTTAATAATCCATACAATATCTGCATCAGACCTCCTAATTTGACCTGATTTGCTCAAATATGATTGTGTACATTTTTCAAAAGTCCTTCTAAAAGTTCTTTCTGTGGCTTTTATCCCCCTAGCCCACTATGACAGACCCTAGGGAATCATCCCAACTTGAGAGACACAGTACCTGACCACATTGCTTCCTCCTGAGGCCAAATCCAGAATCAAAGTTAAGACCAGTTCACATTCTTCCAGGGAGATCCTTCAATGTGGAGGTACCCTGACCTCCAGTTAGGTGTTCAAAGGGACTCACGGACACAGGCTGGAATGATGAGGACTTACCCATGAGGATTGGTGAAGGCTAAACCCATAAATCTCTAACGAAAAAGTTGAAGCTTGGCCCAGACATACTCAGCAGATTGCTCAGTTCTGGGGCTTCTGGAGGTATGAGATGGAGTCTGAACATTGTTGCTAATGTACTCAATCTGAGGACAAACTTCACATGAGGGCTTGGGGTTGGGAAGGCTCCTCACATCCCTTCAATCACATATACAATATGTAGGACCCTAGAGGATCCAGGAATCACAGACTACTTGTGTGTAATATAGCTTATCCCACGGTGAGGCATTGGGCATAGTGGAAAGAACTCAGACTTTGGTTTCAATTCCAGCTCTGTCATTTCTTGGTTACAGAACCTTGTACTAACAGTCAGGTAGAAAGGGTGGATTTGAAGGGTTTGGGTTAGGGAAATAGGATGTAGCAGGGATGCTCAGAACCAAGGATACATACAGGCTCCTGGGAAAAAGGTCACTTCTACAACACAGCATGGTGAGGGAGGGGAAGAACTCACCAGAGCCACTGGGAGCCAGGGTGATGCTCTGAAACAAAAGTCTGTGTCTGGGGGAAATAAGATAATTTCCTCTCTAACCAATTATGTTTATCATCTGTTCCTTGTTCCCCATTGCTTCACTAGTTCCTGCTTTGTGTTCTCACCAGGATCCA